CAAAAAAAAAAAAAAACTCACGAAACTTGTCGTGGAGAAAAAGGGAGAAGGCTAGCCAAGATTCTTGAGTGCGTGTTTCTGCGTGTTTTGCTTTAGCCTTTTCTTGTTTCTGGGTTTTTAGACTACAAACAGAGGTCTGATATGTATAGGACGACAGGTTGACAGTATGAGAGAGATAAAAGTAGCGATTTAATAGTATTTTAATAAATATATATTTGGCATTTTCTCTTGCTATGTCTCTCCAAATTCTCTTGTTTATTTATTGCCCAATTTTACTTTATTTGACTTGTTATTGATGGGCTGGAGTTGGGGGTATGATTGTCAATATATGATACTAGATTTTATTGTGATAGGACATGGGTAGATTTTTAGGGAATATAGGTAATAATAAGGCAAAAATATATTTTTTCATTATAATTATGGCTTCAATCAAATTATCAATAAGAAAGGAAATTTTAAAAACCAAGACTTACATATTTAAAGGCATGCTTTTCCACTCTGGTTTTCAAACCTGCCCGTCAATGTTAATTCAGGTAGCGGGTCATCGAGTTAATTGGCTAAATGAAAAAATAATTTTATGAATATAAAAATTCCATATACTACCTTTATAGTTTACACTTCAAAGTTTTAATAATCATGTATCTCGTCATAAATATTCACCACTTCTTAAATATAAACACATAAATTTACTATTAAAAATAAAATTGGTCGAGTCAAATTGAGTTGACTCAACCGAGTTAATGCACAAATCAATTAGGTTTTGGTCGGGTCCTTTGAAATTGATTTGTCCGCGGTGTTTGCTTTGAATGACCCACTCGAATTGGGTCAACCGAGTCTTGGCTCGACTCGTTGATCTTGTCCGAGTTCAAAAACAATGTTTAGAGACGTTGAATTAGGCCTAGCATTTTGATGGATATATATTAGGGTCGATTAAGACTCCAATTTCTTGGCTCTATGACTCGGGCTCTTCTGCCTCAGTCGAGTTTAAGCCTGGTCAGCTGGTCTGGTAGTTAAATAAGACCAACTCAAATTTACTCATTTAACATAACTTTTGTTGTTGTCTAGAAAGATGCACTTGGAGCATCTCCAAAATTCAATATTTTGAATAAATAAGCTAATTTAAATCTTTGCCGAACATCTCAAATAGAAATTTGATTGGTCCAAAATTTAATCAATATTCAAACCTCTAATATAAACTCAATTTTGGTATTATTATATAATAATAATCGTTTGAACTTCTTAAGTTGCTTTTGCAAACAAGTTAATTTGATACTTAAAACGTACAAACTAAATTTCACTTACAAATTGATCATCTCCTTAAGTCGAATTTGAGGCCTTTTCTTTGTAGAGATTTGATCGCATAGATACATTGAATTAATTAATAATTACAATCACTATCCCCATTTTCTCATCTATATATATATAATTACTAGCTAATAGAATTTAATAAAACCTATTTAATTTTACCTATGTGGTAAGTTAACAATTTTCCCTCCAAAAACCGTTACATTTTGATGTATTTAATCTTTCATTTAATCATTAAATAATTAATACTCATCACTTCAAAATTACAAAAATCATTTTAAACTTTTGATTAGATGTTATTATTGTTGTTACATTTAATTTTTTTTTTTCGAAAATAAAAAATATATTTAAAATTCCTAAATAAATAATAAATAATTCACAAATAAAAGACGTACCAAAATATACATTACATCCAATCAGATAAACGCAATTTAAAAAAAAAATATTACAACTCTTTTAATTGTAAATTTGGTCTGCAAAAAAGTGAAAGAAAAATAATTAATCATTATATGTACAGACTCACAATAATTTATTTATATCTGTGCAAATGCACATGTCGAATACTAGTTAACTATAAATAACCTGAATAAGTCATTCGTGTATATAGATGTATATATAATAAGATTATTTTCATCGTCAATACATTAATACTAGGTTTGACAATAATAGGCCATGGCACATGGGTCAATTTTTAGGGAAAATGCAACAATAAGGCAAAGAGATTTTATTGAGAAAAGTACAGCTTTTACCAGATTATCAAGAAATGAGGAAAATTTTGCAGCACATTAGAAAAACATAATTACAGATTTGAAAGTTGAGCTCGTGTTAGCAATTAAACATTATAATAATAATTTAAAACAATAATAATAATAATTGGTTTTGAATTTTGTTTTATAATTTCTTTTTAAAAGAAACACAATGCCAACCAAACAGGTTGTACAAAAACTTCGGGTAATTTAGACAGAGACAAGCGATATATGCTCTCTGCACAGTATTCTCGTTATTTCAATTAATATTTTTTTGTCTATTGCCTCATTGCTTGTCCTCCAATCCCAACCCCTCTCTCTCTTTTTCCGTATTTTTTTTTTTTATTATTTGAGAATTTTGAATACTGTGTTTTTGAAAGGTGCAGTCACAATTTTTTTACAGTTAAATTAACGCACACACATATCAACCTTGTATTTTGATAGTTTTATCTAGAAGGAGTTATGTTTTTATGACACACTTAATTATATTGGAAATTGTCATTAAATTGTAGTATTACGTTATATATATCATGAAATCGACCCTGTACTTTGATGGGTTTTGGCCACAAGGTATGAAACACTTACTTATATTGGCCCTTATTAAAATGTAGTGTTACGTTAAAGATTTTGGGTTGTTATATTATTTATTTATCATGCTGTTTTTTACATTATTAAGTATATAGAGTACTTAGTTATAATTATGTATTGTTTAAATAAATGAAGTGATTTTTCAGGTTTCGGGACATTATGAAAATTAATTGTGATGGCAATCGCGAAACGGATTAGTGGCTCTTCATATTTTTGAAAATGGGTTTCTTTCACTAATCGTTGAGTGTAAGGGTGAGCAAAACCGAGCTGAAACTAAACAATCGAGCCGAATCGTGCAATTCGGTGCAGTCGGTTCGATTTTTTTAATGTAAAAAGTTTTCGGTTTGATTTCTGTTCGGTTTTTTCCTACATAGCGGTGCGGTGTGATTATAGTTTTTCATAGGTTCGGCTTCCGTTTTATTCGGTTCGGTGCGCTTTTGCACGGAATTGAATAAAATGTAACGAAAAATCGAAATAAAATCGAAAACCGAGCCGAACCGTGCATTTTGGTGCGGTTTGGTTGGTTATTTTAGTGGCAAAAAAAATTAGTTCGGTTTTTTCTAAGTTGCGGTGTAGTTCGGTTATTTTTTTTTTTTTTGCTAGGTTCGATTTTTCGGTTTTCTAGGATTCAGTGCGGTTTTTCATCGAACTGCACCGTTGCTTACCCTTAGTCGGGAGCAAGCGATCGAAAAGAGTATTTGGGCCTTGATGGAAAAGAGTACTTGGGCCTCGTTCTGTTCGTGATAAGTCTAGATATCATCAAGGATTATTCTTTGGAAATAAAGACACTACCTGACCTTTTGAAAATAGTTTTAACATTAATACAAGCCTTCATTGTTAAAGGGGTATATTCAATTAAGATTACTAAAGTTTTTAAAATTATAGAAATCTTGGTGTATTCAATTTATTAGATTTGTTAAGACTTTTAAAAGTTCATCTAAGATTTTAAAAAATCTTACAAAATCTATTTTAAAAAGTCTTACAAAATTTTGAGGTATTTAACTTACATGAAACTAAGATTTGTTAAGACTTTTTAAGATTTGGTAGAATTTTTAAAGAAAAAACAAATTCCACTTCAAATCCCTCCAGACTTAAAATATTGTAAAAATACTACATGGAAAACTTATTTGCATATCTACCTAAATGAACATATATATTTAGATAATTACTAGATAATTAAACAACTAATTAGAAATGGTATGTATCTTCCCTCTTCCATAACTGGCACACAGACCATAAATTACATTAAANNAAAAAAAAAAAAAAAAAAAAAAAAAAAAAAATCACTCTCACAAGGTAAGTGGAATCTACAACACACCTCGCCCACGTTGCCCTTAAGAAGGACGCTTCGACCGCCACCACCTCCTTCATGGCAGACCGCAACGCCCGAGCGTGAGGTCTACGACTGCTCCCTCAAGATCGAGATCGAGGCCCTGCCTCTCGGCGGGCGCCTCGCCGATCTGAGCCGCGCCCGGGCCCAATCGATGAGCTTTGGGCTGAGCGCGAGGCCAATTGGAAAATTTGAACAGGTTCTACCGGGGAAGGGAGGCGAGGAGCTCAGGTCCGAGATTGAGGTGACGCATAAGTGGATCCAACAGGGAAGGTAAGTGATCGAGCTCGTGCGTGAGATGCATGCAACTAACTTCCATATCGGCCGAACTATGGCGAAGCACATGGTGGCGATGGCTGACAAGGCCGAGAAGCTTCATTATGAGCTTGCGGATGCAGAGAAGAGGGCCATGGCCGTGGATTTGGGTCTTAATCTGAATTCTGGAATTGATTTAAGAAACGATTGAATTTTTTTAAAATCATTATTTATGTGACGTTTATTAATAGTTTATATGTTAAGAGTTATATACGTGACGTAAACTATTTTTTTTTTTTAGATTTCGTATGAATTGATGGACTTTGCGCATGCAACAACTGAGGAGATGCGCGGGAAAATGAAACATATACTGAAACTATACTGACTATAAACAACGCAAGTGAAGTTACTCTACCAATCGATATATACTTTAAATCTGATATTGTCGTCATTAATTCATTTGAAGATAAAAATATGTTGCAGAACCAGTTGAATAACACAAAATAACAAGTATATTCTTTTGTAGTGTTAAAATACTCTTATAAATGGTTCACAAAATATACGTTACATTAGGTGCATAAATCGTGGTATATTAAGTATATATATATGTTGTATATAATATGTATACTTCTATGTGGCGTGTTAAAAATTATACGACGTTTATATATTTCAAGAGCCATATAATGCCATAAAAAGTTTTATAATTGTATAAGTAATTTATTCACGGTTTATATGAGAATCATGATACTCTATTATACGGTTTATTTTTCATGTTTTAACATGTTTATATGAGAATTTCGACATTGCCGGAAGTGTTTGACACCGATCTTTTCTTCCGCATAAGCTTCATGTCGACTTTAGGTTTGATATTATTGAACATAATTGTATACATATACTTATATGTTATATAAATAACTACAAGTTATAAAACCAAGTATAAACAGATTTTTGTTCTCATAAACAACAAATAAACAAAACAAAACCATTAATATACATAAACCATGAGAAAGTCGTTTTTCTCAACATTTTTACCTCAACACGGTTTTCTCTGAATTCCACAATCCACATATTCCATCAACCCCAAAAGTCAATGATCGGTGTCCAATTACATTAGATATAGCCAAACACAAGTTGCAATTTCAACATAGTTGATACCATGTTATGTAACCAAGTTATCATCACAAGAAATTGCAAGGCTGACCGGAAACAAAGGGGAAATTTGATCATGTCATTGAACGACGGGTTTCTCTAGTGTAATCCCCCCGTCGTCGTTAAGAACCTTGTTAAAAAATGCTTCCCTCCCGCGAAAAACTGCTTCTCCTGCCACCATCGACGGAGCCGCCGCCGCCCTCACTGTCTTAGCATCTTTTCATCCAATCACCTGCGCCGGTCGAACCGCTATCTCCGGCAATTGGAGGTCCAGTGCACCTCCTTGGTTTGATGGTCGCCTTACTGTCGGCGGGTCTGCCAATCCATCAATCCGTCGACCCCCCGTTGAAATCATCCAAGCCGTGAGTCGCCAGTCTCCGACCAATAAAAAAAAAGAAATTTGAGCTATAGGGGGAGAGAAAAATTTAAGCGTAAACTTATAGCATAAGAGAAGAAAAGCAGAGAGAGAGAGAAAGTAACGTGAGTGGAAAAAAAAATCATTAAATTACCTCATAAAAACTACCACTTACCTCTTAAAAAAAATTAGTATTCGACCCTGTGCATTTGCATAGATGTAGATAAAGTATTATAAGTTAATTGTATTCATATAATATTAAAATTACATGTTAAATAATAATATTATATTTTAAACATAAGTATTATAAGTTATATTTATGCATATAATATTAAAATTATAAGTTAGATAAAGGTATATGTTTTAAAATTCGATCATTGTTAAAATAAATAGTACATAACAATTTGATTGCATATAAATCACTATATTGAATGCATAAAGTATAATAAATAATGTAGTTTTTTAAATTTTGAGGGACTATTACTAATTAATTAGCTAAAAATTATTAAATTTATTATAATAACTGTTTATGCGATTTTAAGAAATTTTACTACGACATTAAAAAAATTACTTTATTTAAAAAACAATTGTTTAATCAGATAAAAAAATATAATATTGATTCTAGAACAAATAACTCAAAAAAAAAGTTTTCACAATATAGTTTTTTATGTTTATGTAACTTTTATATATCATTTAGAGTAAAATATAATTATTAATTATAATAATAACTATTATATGATAAAATAAAAAATATAATTATTACTCAATTAATATAAAATGTAACGTTTTTGTCTTAATTAACAAAACAAAATTAATGTGATAGTGTGGATTAATGTAATAATAACAATAATAATAATAATAACAATAATAATAATAATAATAATAATAATAATAATAATAATAATAACTAGTATTCCACATGTCCATTTACACAGATATAAATAAAGTATTGTAAGTTATTTGTATATAAAGTATTGTGAGTTATTTGTATGCATATAATGATTAATGATTTTTCTTGTACTTTTTTTGCAGGCCAAATTTACAATTAAAGAAGCTGGAATATTTATTTTTTTAAATTGCGTTATCATATTGGATGTAATATATATTTTGAAATTATTTATCATATTTTTTTTGTGAATTATTTATTATTATTTTTTTTTTCGGAACGATAGAGATAATATAACAACCAGCGAGAACAAAGTTCGAATACAAACCAGACCCAAAGGATGAATACAAATGAAAACAAAAAATACAAATGAGAGGACTCGCATCAAGGCGGCCTAAATCAACTCAAATAACAGAAAATGAGAGAGATACCATGACCACTGCAATTAAGCCTAGCCTGCTACCAAACTCTAGAGAAACACAAAGCACCAAGCCTATCAACCAAACTAAGAACGAACTGAAAAATGGAGAAAGACTCCTAAACCTGCTCAGAACTGGACTTCAATTTCTTCAAATCTTTGAATTCCATCCAAGCTTTCTGAGCATTGCTGAGTACCACTTGGATAGGCATTTTGAGTTGTTCAAACATACACAAATTTCTTGATTTCCACAGCCACCACAAAATGTAAGTGGTGAGCTGTATTCTTTCCTCAGCAACAATTGAAGAGTTGATCGAACATATGTGCCACCACCAATCCCTAAAGAGACCACCAACAGCAGCAGCACCATCCCAGATCAAGGGGCTCATTTTCCACAGCATTTGAGCTCTATGGCAGTGAAGGAAGATATGCTCTATAGTTTCAGGGGCTTCACCACAAAAATGGCAGATAACATCCACTTCAATTCCTCTATTGACTAAGTTGGTGCTGACAGGAAGGAAGAGTTCCTGAAATACACTTCCACAAGAAGTGTTTAAGGGTCCCCTTCACATTCAAATTCCAGGTTCTGATTCTGGCCTTCTTGATGAGTTTTGAGTTGCTGCTGTTACCAGGGATATCAAGCTTCAGCCTTTTCTGATTAATCAAGAGATCATAGGTGGATGAAACTGAAAAGTTCCCTTTCTTTTCCAAACACCAGTAAATTCTGTCATTGAGTATTGCCTGACTCTCCTCTGCATTGAATAACTGCCTCACAAGCCATGTGTTCCATTGAAACCCATTCTCCTGAACTAATTCCTTCACCCAGGTTATGTGCCCCTGAGCAACCTCCAACAAAGATGGTTTAACAAGTGGCAGGCTAGGAATCCAGTTAGCATCTGTTATCCTAGTATTAGCACCACTTTGAATTTCAGTTCTGAGCCCCTGAGCCAAAATAGGTAGACAATTTCAAATACGTTTTTTATTTTCTGAAATAAGTTAATTTGTAACAACAACAATAATATCTAATTACGTTAAATAGTCAACACATTATATGTCAGCTGTAAGTAAATCAAAAGTTTAAAATGATATTTGTAATTTTGAAGTGATTAGTGTGTTGATTATGTAATAATTAAATGAGAGGTTAAATAAATAAAAAGTAACGGTTTTTGGAGGAAAAATGTTATTTTGCCATGTATAATTTAATAGGTTTTATTAAATGCTCATGAGCTAGCAATTATATATATATAGATTATAATAATTATAATAATAATATTGAATTGTAACGATTTTTCTATTAAAAAAGTGTCATGTAAGTAAAATTTATTAAGTTTTATTTATGAAGTTTAATTTAATGATTAACTAGCAATTATATATAGATGAAAAAAAAAAGAAATAAAAAACTGCATAAATCTCGGAGGGATTTGGGCTAATTAAAAATCAGTGCAATATATTTGCAAATATTTTGGGAAGATATCTGGTAAAAAATCCTAGGCAATGTTGGCAGGAGACGGCGACGCGGTAATCAGGTACACCGTCTCTCGATCGGCACTTCCACCTCCTTTCTGAAACTGAGGTCTAAGTCCTGTTTAAGTTCGCGTGTTGATGAATTTCAGGTAAAAAAAACAGTGGCCCTTTTGATTGCAGTTGATGAAACTGTAGGTACGACATGAAATAAATTTCTTCTCTGTGTGTGGGGATCTGGTTCCATGGCCATTTGTTTTTTCTTCTTCAAAAATCTTAATAAACTTATCTCTGCATTTAAGATGGTAGAGTAAAGATTTGTGTTTGGTACATTATACATGATGGTGAGGGTGAAACTTTGGCTTAGCTGAGAAAAAAAAAATATATATATATTTTGATCTTGAGAGAGGTGGACTGTGGAGGGACGCTTAGCAAGATAAAGATTAGGCCACTAATTGGGGTCAATTTTGCGTTTGTTAACAATGATTTTGGCTCGCTAGATTGTGATCGGCCCAGAGATAGAAATGGAAGTAATCGTGCATATCCCAGATAAAACAATCTTGGGGTGAAGGGGAGATGAATTTATCTAGACGGTACCAAAATAAGTAAATGTCGGTTTTGTCCTTGTAACCAAATTCAGTATCACTCATCTTTCATTTGTCTGCTTCCCTTTGATCCCAACCATCCCCAACCGCCGTCAGCATCTGTCCTACGCCTCCATCCACCAGCCAACGAGCAAGCAACCGTCATAGTTCCAATCTACTTTCATTGTGTCCAGGGGCGAAACCAGAAAATTAGTTGAGAGGGGCAAAAGACATGACATTAGGGGTGAGCAAAACCGAGCCGAAACCGAAAAACCGAACCAAACCGACGTATGCCTCTAAAATCTAAATGGGATAATATTAGAGAAATGTTATAGGTACATAATATTATACATAAGGTTGTACATAACACTCATATTGAGTGGGGCCCACTAAAAATAAAAAATCTAGTAGACCTCACTTCATGTGAATATTATATACGTCGGTTTGGTTCGGTTCGGTTCGGTTTTTAGAGTTCGGTTTTCGGTGCGTTTAAAATTTTGAAAAACGCACAAATTTCAGTGCGGTTCGATTTTTTGTTCGAAGGGTGCGGTTTTAACCGAACCGCACCGAATATTTTTTTTTCTTATTTTTTTTTATCTTTAACAAATATGTTAACATGTTTGTATTGTACATATAAATGTTTGTTTTGGGCCTTTGGTTTGGGATGACTAACATTAACAATACATAAGTAAATAATAAATAATAATAATAACAATTAAAATTTAAAAACATTACATTAAAATATAATTTCTTGCCATCCTTTTTCACTTTCAATTCAAATTTTAGGTCTTTGGTTCATTAGATGATGATAATGATGTAGCTTTATTTTATTTTGGGTGCATTTTTCTTTTTTTTTTTTAAAAAAAAATAAAATAAAACAATTGCGGTTAACCGAAATCGAACCGAAAATTTCGGTGCTGTTTCGGTTCGGTTTTTCAACCAGTTTCAGTGCGGTTCGGTTTGGATAAATAAATATTTTCTGTTTTCGGTTTTTTACGGTTCGGTGCGGTTTTGCACCGAACCGCACCATGCTCACCCCTACATGACATAATGGGTTCATAATCGATACCGAACCGATAACATTTCGATAACTGATTTTCAGTTACTGTTACACATAAGTCGGTTCGGTTCGGTTTATTTTCTCATCAACTTGGTTGGGTTCGATTTTCGGTAATCGGTCAAAAAATACTAATCCTAGTCTAGGCAATTAAAGAGAGTTGAAATCTTTTATATAAGCCAATTAAAATTGTAGAATGATAATAATTAATATACAAAATTAATAGTAAAATAAAAGAAGTGTTGAATTGTTAATTGACAATTGTGGACAAGTTAGCTTGGTGAGTGACGTTTAAAACCAAAAAATTTGGGGGTGCAAAAATAAATTTAAAGGGGAAGGGGAAAATTAAATTTTTTAATATTAATAGTAAAAAGAATTAAAAATTTGCCCCCCTATGAGTACATGTAGCTTCGTCCATGATTGTGCCTTTCCTTCTTCCCCCTACCTCCTCCAAAATATGCCACCGGCTATAGAGCTAGTGGCATCTGTCCCTTGTCTCCATCCGTCGGCCGATGAGGAAACGGCCGCCAAAATTGAGTGGAATGGGGTTCAATCAAGTCGTCATTTTTTCAACCCGTTCAAATCGAGTTGTCCTTTTTTCTGTGTCTTGGGATTTCTCTTTAGTTATATCCCTTTTTCTATTTAAAAAATCTTGAGTGCATTTGAAACCTTTGCGAATGGCGTCCTTTATTGTAAGTTCCCATTCGATTTAGTTTGTCACACTGTGACAGTTGTTTGTTAACTATTAGGAGCCATGTTTGGGCTGTATAGAGTGAAGGCTTGTACTTTGCTCGTTTTCTTGGTCTTGCTAGTTTGTTCTAGTAAGTTTAAGACTGTAATCAGTGGATTACTCGTGTAGATTTTGTTTGAGTTTTAATGATATTTTTACGTTTTGGAAGAAAAAAAGACACGGTGACAGTTAATTTTTCCTTTTGATCTACCTAACTTGTCTCTAAAACAGAGTACGGTGAGTT